CACACACACACACACACACAGAAGTATTGACCAATCCCTCATAGAGACTTTCATGCCTTTGCACACACACACACACACAGGAGTATTGACCAATCCCTCATAGAGACTTTCATGCCTTTGCACACACACACACAGAAGTATTGACCAATCCCTCATAGAGACTTTCATGCCTTTGCACACACACACACACACAGGAGTATTGACCAATCCCTCATAGATACTTTCATGCCTTTGCACACACACACACACACACACACAGGAGTATTGACCAATCCCTCATAGAGACTTTCATGCCTTTGCACACACACACACACACAGGAGTATTGACCAATCCCTCATAGAGACTTTCATGCCTTTGCACACACACACACAGGAGTATTGACCAATCCCTCATAGACTTTCTAGCCCTAGTACACACACACAGGAGTATTGACCAATCCCTCATAGAGACTTTCATGCCTTTGCACACACACACACACACAGGAGTATTGACCAATCCCTCATAGAGACTTTCATGCCTTTGCACACACACACACAGGAGTATTGACCAATCCCTCATAGAGACTTTCATGCCTTTGCACACACACACACAGAAGTATTGACCAATCCCTCATAGAGACTTTCATGCCTTTGCACACAGACACACACAGGAGTATTGACCAATCCCTCATAGAGACTTTCATGCCTTTGCACACACACACACACACAGGAGTATTGACCAATCCCTCATAGAGACTTTCATGCCTTTGCACACACACACACACACACAGGAGTATTGACCAATCCCTCATAGAGACTTTCATGCCTTTGCACACACACACACAGAAGTATTGACCAATCCCTCATAGAGACTTTCATGCCTTTGCACACAGACACACACAGGAGTATTGACCAATCCCTCATAGAGACTTTCATGCCTTTGCACACACACACACACACAGAAGTATTGACCAATCCCTCATAGAGACTTTCATGCCTTTGCACACACACACACACACAGGAGTATTGACCAATCCCTCATAGAGACTTTCATGCCTTTGCACACACACACACAGGAGTATTGACAAATCCCTCATAGAGACTTTCATGCCTTTGCACACACACACACACACAGGAGTATTGACCAATCCCTCATAGATACTTTCATGCCTTTGCACACACACACACAGGAGTATTGACCAATCCCTCATAGAGACTTTCATGCCTTTGCACACACACACACACACACAGGAGTATTGACCAATCCCTCATAGAGACTTTCAAGCCCTTGCACACACACACACAGGAGTATTGACCAATCCCTCATAGAGACTTTCCAGCCCTTGCACACACACACACAGGAGTATTGACCAATCCCTCATAGAGACTTTCATGCCCTTGCACACACACACACAGGAGTATTGACCAATCCCTCATAGAGACTTTCATGCCTTTGCACACACACACACACACAGAAGTATTGACCAATCCCTCATAGAGACTTTCATGCCTTTGCACACACACACACAGGAGTATTGACCAATCCCTCATAGAGACTTTCCAGCCCTTGCACACACACACACAGGAGTATTGACCAATCCCTCATAGAGACTTTCATGCCTTTGCACACACACACACAGGAGTATTGACCAATCCCTCATAGAGACTTTCCAGCCCTTGCACACACACACACAGGAGTATTGACCAATCCCTCATAGAGACTTTCCAGCCCTTGAACACACACACACAGAAGTATTGACCAATCCCTCAGAGACTTTCCAGCCCTTGCACACACACACACAGGAGTATTGACCAATCCCTCATAGAGACTTTCCAGCCCTTGCACAGACACACACAGGAGTATTGACCAATCCCTCATAGAGACTTTCCAGCCCTTGCACACACACACACACACACACAGGAGTATTGACCAATCCCTCATAGAGACTTTCCAGCCCTCGCAGGCACACACAGAAGTATTGACCAATCCCTCACAGAGACTCTCAAGCCCTTGCACGCAGGCACGCAGGCACGCACGCACGCAGGCACGCACGCACGCACGCACGCACCCAGCCTTCGACTTCTCGGGGGAGAGGCAAGCTTGGGGTAAGAGTACCCCAAGGGGTACAGCTGTGAGGTAATTGGGTGGGAAGGATTTGCCACACACCAAGGAATCAGATTAAAGGGTATGATAAGTTTGCAACCAAAAGCAAGAGTCATTATATTTCAGTTATGAAAAGCAAAGGCAGCTCGGGAGCTCTGTGGCCCCTGTGACCACTTCGGATCACAAAGAGAGACGGTGTATCCATAACTCACAACCGGTTTGTCACCATTTAAAGAAGACTTGAACCAAAGTCAGAGGTAAAGTGAAATGGGGTTTAACATAGCGCTTAAGTTTATTGCACTTATATAGCGACATGCATGCACGTGTTTGTGTGTGGCTGCTTGTACAAGTCTGGACTAATGCCGGTTTTATTGTGCTTGCCCACTGAGATACCATGGTATAGTTGAATGAATACCCGACTTACACAGGATACTGACTCAGAGCCGACCAGTCCTTGTTTTATCTCATTAATCACAAGTGCCAGCAGGCTCTATCCACAACACCACAGAGACAGTCCCAAACCAACATAGTGAGTTAATTGGGTTTTACGCCGCTTTTAACGGTATTCCAGTTATATCGTGGCGCGTCAGCTAAATGTTGGAGGAAAGCCCAAAGTAATGCAGGCCTCAGACGTTTACCACTTCGGTGAAACCCACAAGCATGGGTATGATGCTGGCAAACTTAGAAACATAATTGAGCCGAACCGGGATTCGAACCCACAGTCATAGGTTTCTGGTATGCCCAAGGGACGCAACTCTGACTGGGCTACCTGTGCCCCCCCACACCAACATAGGAGTGAGTGAGTGAGTGAGTTTGGTTTTACGTCGCCTTTAGCAATATTCCAGCAATATCATGGCGGGGGACACCAGAAATGGGCTTCACACATTGTACCCATGTCGGGATTCGAACCCGGGTCTTCGGCGTGACGAGCAAACGCTTTAACCACTAGGCTATCCGACCACCCCCACCAACATAGGAATAGACTGGTTTGATTTGCAATACATCCTGATTATCTTCACATCAATTTGGCAAGGGAAAACCAACTCCCCAACATCATGGACGGACGCATCCATGTTAAGATCTTCTCCATCTTAACAACATAATGTGACCCCTTAGGGAGCAACATACCGGAGGTAAAAGCGACGATCGGAAAACAAAATTTAAATGAATATGATTTTTTATATTTTGCCCGACCGTTCCATCATTGCTATATTAGACAGATTAAAAAAGCCAACCAGAAAAATCATACAAAGTAAACATTTTAAATAATGACAGATGAAATACATTGTATGTACTCTTGCCAATGCCATTTTTTTAACACGCGTTATAAAGGAACAAAGAAGGTGGTACATGTACATCTGAGAATACTAAACATCCTACTGGTATTACTGTCTTCCCACAACACTGACCGGCCGAAGCAACAACAAACCAAAAATATTGAGCTACACAAAGACATTTATACTGCGACTGACGAAGCTAATTGATTAGCAAAAGTCCCCGAACCATAACATGATAAATAAGAGTCCTCACACCAATGAGTGAGTGAGTGAGTGAGTGAGGTTTGAACTCGCTTTGAGCAATACAGAAGCCAGGGCTGGAGCGACAAGAATGGGCTTTACACATTGTACCAACGGAAGATTCGAACAATCGAGTACTTTAACCATTCACCTGCCCCTTTCTTTAATAAATATTATATAATGAAAAATATAAAAATTCAGTTATATCTTTACTTGTCATTATAAATAATTGAAAATTGTTCTAAATTTTATGACAGATAGAAGACAACCTGCCATGAAATAATGGTCTGAATTCGGCTAGGTGAGCTTTAAGTCCTCTCTATACTATCACTGCCACCTGTCACAGCAATCATCTGCACAGATGGGCTGAATCCTCGCATAGAGCTGACTGACTCCGAACTCGGAACAGACTGACTGACAGACTGTTATGTTTACAAACAAGTGATAACTGTTTTGATGCAGAATATACTTTCCCCAGCTGAATTATTTTGTTTGTCAACTTGAATTTCTTTTTCATTTCAACCATCGTGAAATTATTTTAGTGGCAATGAATGGGGAAAATTGGGTGTTTTTCCATTGGTCTGCAATTTCAAACCAATATGATGAAACAAACGTAAATTAGCCAGTTGTAAACCTTTTCCAAATTTACTTGAATTGAATTCCAAAAGACTTGCGAAAAATAGAAATGTCACTACATTTGAGGTCAGATGGACAATTTTCAAGATTCTTGTAATGGTTGCTTGCACACTGGTGGCAGCGATGATACCGACAGGGTGACAAATATGTCACGCGCTGGCAGGGATCCTTGAAATGCAAGCTCCTTCCCAGCGCGTGACACCTTCGTTACACTCTCGGTAATATCGCTGCCACCAGTGTGGGCGCGGCCATTACAAGAATCTTGAAATTTGTCCTCTAACCCCAAATGTAGTAACGTTAATACTTTTGTTTATGTGTTTGGGAATGCCATCAGAGTTCATTTTGAAAAGGTTTACGACTGACCATGTTTTCCAGATGAATTTACTTTGTTGTTTGTATAATCAGATTGGTTCGAGATTGCAGACTAACGGAAAATCAATGAATTTCTCCCTTACATTCTTACTTTATCAATAACATGATAGTTTTAATGAAATAGAAATTCAAATTGACAAACAAAGAAAGTAATTTAGCAGGGGTGAGTGTATTCGGCTTCACGACAGTCGTCACTTGTTTGTAAACATAACGGTCAATCGGCTGCGAGTTAAACTCCAAGCATGGTTGTAGTCATCTATCACTGTGGGGAGTTTTGACTGGTGGCAGCGATAGTATAGAGAGCTCTGCAAACGGGATATCGCTGTGAGGAGCTTGGGTGAAATGGTGATCATCTGACTGGGGAAGACGCTACTATCCTGAAGACTACTTACCACTTCTGAGGCCTTTAGAAACAAAGCAGGAGGAAGAAGAAGATGTTAAAGTCATCACCAAACACAGTTTTACCAAACATATCTAAAAACTCGACTGACTACGTTTGCAGTCTGCCGTGCATTCAAATAACTCAATTCTGCAAATGGACAGACAGACAATTTGTTGTCTTAGTTTCCACTGCTTTGTTGACTCCAGACGATACATATGAAATGGGAGAGAAAAAATATGATTCTAGTTTTAAAATCTATTATAGCATACTTGACATTCACACATACATGTAAAAAAAGAATGATTTTCCTCTGCTTGCCTGCAACCTGCTCAATGACCCACAGATATATATATTCAGTGAAGATGAATGATTCTGCGATTTCTGTTTGTCCAAATACTGTACATGTATACCATGTGATGTTTAATGTGAATGATATGCCACTATAAGAAGACAATATCTCGCGCCATATTACACTGAATATCCATCTCGGATGAAGTTCACACAGCTACAAACAGGAGATAATCTTGTCCTTCATAATATGGGTTTGTCCTCAGCACAAACCTACAAATTAAGAAATACCTAATACCTTTTTTTCATGAATAATATTGTTCTACATGTACTTTTTTCAACCATGCATGATTTATCATGCTATATTTATGTTTTATGGGCTGGTGGTCTGTCTGTCCATCCATCCATCCGTCCGTCCGTCCATCTGTCCGTCCGTCCGTCCAATACACCCATGATAAATAATTTGTGCAGCTTGAGCGTCACTGTGTTCTCATGTTAACAATATAAATTATTAAACATTCCTGTCACACATTTCACTAGGGGTGACTATTGGTGTGGAAATCACTATTGTGATAACTATTGATATTGACAGAAACTATTGTGATAACTATTGATATTGACAGAAACTATTGCGATAACTATTGATATTGCAAGCAACTATTGCGATAAATATCGATAGTTTTCAGTGTATCATTTTAGATGGATATTAGAGTTGAATTAAACCTTGGAACTGAAGTTTCCTTTGAATGTGGTAACCATAACAACAAATAACAAGTACAGAGTGAGATATGACTGTTTTGTTTTTTCTTTACCCTAATAATTTAAGAAAAAGAAACTTCCACATTACCATGTGTAAATTACTACCACTCATGATCAGAAGAAAAACAAATTTGAACAGCATTGCATGTATTTTATTGATATGGTAAATACAATCAAAACTATTAATATTCCTAACTGAAACCGATACTATTGATCGGAAACTGATTTAACAATTATTGACGTTAAGTGCTTATCAATAGCAATATATCGATACACTGTATTTTGATTTATTGTGACACCCCTACATTTCACCCCAAAAAGCAAATAAAAAATTAGAAATTATAGTTTTCCTGCATGCTACTGGTCATTCAACCTATCCAATCCATCACGCCTCCCCATTTGGGAATACAGTCAACTACGGTTATAACGAACTCAAAGGGACCACTAATTCTTATTCGTTGTAACCATAATTCGTTATAAGATATGTACAACATATATACACAAAATGGATGGGACCGAGAAACAGTTTGTTATTCCCCGGAAGTTCGTTGTGAACGTAGTTTACTGTATTTGCAACAGGCCGGGGACAAATGCCGTCCCGTACCACAAATGTAGAGAATGGACACAGAAAAAGAATATAGCGCACTCTGAGGGACGCACAATAATATTCATTGTGCCTACAGCGCATTAAGAGCAGATAGGGGTGTCTGATATTTCATCCATCAATCATGACCACTGTCCTCATCATTAGTTTAGTTTAAACATATTTTATTCTCATGAAAATGATTGGCACAAGTTATCACAACTTAAAACGCCCTCTCCCATAGATTGACAATACCATATGAGAAATAAGGTGGAACTGTAGACCTATTTGTTCTTAAACTGGATTTAAAACAACATCATTAATTTATGAGATAAACCTACTGTGTTTTGAAAGTTGATGTAGTTCCACTGTAGTATAGATACCTCTTTATTTTAATTTTGAACCGAGCGCCTTAGGAAACCTCTTTTTAATCCGAATCAAGCATTCATCAATGTCATGGTAGAATGATCAATGATTCATTTCAGGCTTTCAAGTAATTATGTAAACGTACAGTACACTACGCCATTTCATAACTTAACAACACCCTCTTATTGCCTGCAAGGACCCTTAAAATTGTTGTAAGTAAAGGTAAAAGTAAAACCCTATAGGGCGAAATAAGATCAAGGCTCTTCCATGTCCTTCAGTAGAGTCTGTGTCTGCTTGTAGTTTAATGCCGCACTCAGATATATTCCAGATACTGTAAATCTGGAGTGAGTGAGTGAGTTGGGTTTAACGCCGCTTTTAACAGTATTCCAGTTATATCGCGGCGTGTCAGCTTAATGTGGGAGGAAAGCCAAAGTGATGCAGGTCTCAGATGTTTATCGCTTCGGTGAAACCCACGAGCGCGGGTATGGTGCTGACAAACCTAGAAACATAATCGGGGCGAACCGGGATTCGAACCCACAACCATAGGTTTCTGGCGTGCCCAAGGGACGCAACTCTGCACAGCTAATCGCGGCTAAGAGACGACTGGGCCACCCGTGCCCCCTGTAAATCTGGAAAGTGTCACGCCATGAAAGGACTGAGTGCCTAACAATAGCCTTAACTGGGTTTGAAAGGTTTTGCAATATCCCGTTAAGATGACCAAATATCAAAGGTGTTGAGGTATTTGACAAGGGAGGTTGGAGTAGCGTGTTTATCTAACTGACTGGCTGGCGTGTGTCTGGATTACTCGGTGTTGTGTCAACAACTTGATGAGATGTGGCAGGTTAGGGAACTTAAGACTAATTAGACTTTTGACACTGAGTGACAATGTGTAATAATCGAAACTCAAGATGTGAGGGGATATTTGTTTCATCATGTACTGGCTGGTCTGACAACGTGTGAAAGTAAACACAAGAAATATGCCTCCTTATGTCTTTTGTTTGTTGGTGGTCTGCAAAAGTAACTACTTCATGAAACTGTTGTAAGTGTGTGTCCCTTGCAGTTTTTGCAGTACTCTGCTTGCAAAACTTTCTAGACTTACAGGATATTACAGACCGAAATAATCCAGTGATTGACATCATGAGTAACGATTATGCAAATGGCATGGGTTGGTTTGTTGTTTAACGCCTCAATCAGCAATATCCCAGCTCTACAGCAGCAGTCTGTAAATAATTGAGTCTGGACCAGACAATCCAGTGATTGACACCATGAGCATCGATCCACGTAATTGGGATCGATGACATGCATCAACCAAGTCAGCGAGCCTGACCACTCGATCTCGTCAGTCGCTTACGACAAGCATGGGCTGCTGAAGACTTATTCTACCTCGGAATCTTCACGGGTCCTGTGATTGCTACTACATGTATAAGCAATGACCCTCGCCATCAGGTAACGATAACACTCAATGAACCAAGTCAGCAAGACTCATCTCTCTTACGACCAGCGAAGGTTGACGAAGGCCTACTTTTAACCCACAATCACATCTACGCTTTGGTCAATAGAAAGCACAGATGCATACAAATTGAGACTACCACTTGATGGCTGTTTATTTACCTTCAATTCATCGCTTCATTTAAAAAGAAATTTGGCATAAAGACCCCCAGCGGTTTTCACCAAAATGCTTTGAGAAGCTATTGGTTTTGTTCAGGAAGGTGTGGCAGTGATAACCCTCACCTGGTCTGTATGTGGTTCTTCACACCTGGTGAATGACTGAACGACCTCGAAAACTTACAAAACAACCCACAGCATTTAAGTTAAATGTTATGGCTAGTACATGCATACTGACACAATTTTTTTTCTTGCTTTATACATCCAGGAAATGTCCCTGGTGTATGTATGAGTTGAGAGGACTTAAGCACTTGAGAACTGGATTGGTAAACAAGCACAAACTTATTTGAATACTGCTCCAGAATTAGAATACAATATAATATGACAAAAGTATAGTCAAGGAATACAATTGTATACATGTTCTTATTATAGAAACTACAATGAAACTACGCTGTCGGTGCTGTCGGGTCTCATTTTTAGTAGTAATAGTGTACTGCAATATACGGCAAGGAGTAGTAGTATAAATTTAAGATGCTATGTAAAATCACATAAGCAGTATGGAGGAGCGTTTGAAATCGTATAAATACTAGGCTGCCGACTTTAGAATCTGCAGGCCCTGACTAAACACTTCAGGCCCCCTATCTAAACAACTGCAGCTGATTGTGACTAAGGCTTAAAGAAACAATAGTCTTGGTCAGAGCTCCAGATAACTTTTTGAGCAATTGAGTTTTTATTCTAGGGTTTCTATTTTAATTGGGTTATTACATTTTTCATTGGGTAATCAATATTTTTTCACTCGTCTATTCATCAATCTATTGGGTTTTTCCCAAAATTAGTGAACATTTTAAGATTTATAAACAAAATGAAATATAGTTTTAGATGTATATAACTGTTCTAAATAAATAGGCTTGACCCAGAAAGAAGACTATTAGCTCGTAAATGTGTTTCGGAAATTAGCTCCTTTGTACTCATCATTTAATGCATGTGTTTATGTACGCAAGTTAATTGAAAGTAATTGGGTTTTACATTTTTTTTTTGGGGGGGGGCGTATTTTACACAAATATGCTGCTTATCTGTAGCTCTGCTTGGTTCTCAAACACCTACCACATCATCATAAAGTCTGCCGCACGTTTTGTTTTTATTTCCTTTTTCCGCAAAATATAAAAATCCTAATACTTAAACACAAGGTACAAACAAAATTGAAAATGGAAGCAAAAAAGAAACGTGCAATGAACTTTATGATGATGTGGGCAGTGCCTGAGAACCAAGACTATTATTTCTTTCAGCCTAATAATCGACATGTAAATTCACTGCAGGCCAAACTATGGACCCGACCGACACGAGAACAACCTGCCACGGGACTACTGGCAGGCACTGATTTTGAACACTTGTCTGGAGTAGGAGTAATGATCTATCAAACT